GTTGGGAGATTGCCTTGGACTCGCCGAGTCTGTTCATGCACTCGCTGATTCCTATGAACTCCAGGACTATGGCTTAGCCCAATATGTTGGGTCACTCCCCTGGACCCTCTAAAACCTTTCCAGCACTCTACTGGGTCTCTTTTACCCATAACAGAAAAGGCGAGTCTAACCTCGGACTCGCCGATTCCCAAGAACGACTCGCCGAGTCGATACTGTCTAAGGCTATTTCTTCGATTTCTGGTGTACAACTCTTGTTCAAAAGATAGATCTAGGTCCCTAAAATCGATCTAGCACGTAAAGTTACGAACTTTACGTGCATGCATGGGACTTTGAGCCTAAAAGGCCCTAAAAGAGACTCTTAAGTTGCATGTGGGCTTCCATGGGTGCAAAAGCAGCCCTTTTCTGCCTTGTAACTCCTTCATGGACCTAGATCTGAAGCCTTAACCCCCAACCATGCTTGCAATCATGGTTGGTCACCAAGAATGGCTTATAAAAGCCCTAAATCTCCCCAAAAAGGGATCTAGCAAATGAACAAGCAAGGTACCGACTTTATACCTTCTGGGAACTGCAAATGATGCACAAACTTGAACTCCCTTGGTCTTCTCTTGATCCCTCTAGGCCCTTCCTTCTTCCTTGTGATCAAAATCACCAAAAATCACCACAAATGCCTTTAGATTTTCACACACACAGTTAGGGTTTGCTATGGGGGGTTTTTGGAAGCAATAGGCGCGAAGGGTGGCTGAATGAGATGCTTAAATAGGGTGCAAACCCTTAGATTAGGGTTTTGTCCAGTCAGAGTCTACTCGTCGAGTCTGGAGGCGACTCGACGAGTCCGTCATTTAAATCCCGTATCCAATACGCTTCTACTCGGCGAGTTGGGCCTTCAACTCGCCGAGTCCCAGGCCAAAAATGCACAATACTTAAATAAAATACATACCAGGAACCAGGTGCTACATGGGCCCAATTTGGAAAATTGGGCCATGTGTTGGGCTTTGATTCCTAATGGACTTTGGGCCTATGGATTGGGCCTTGGGCTTGAATAAGCCAAACTTAGGGTAATGTAGTAATTATCCAAAGAATGTACTTATGGTTATGTGTTGGGACCCAATTATTAATTGGGTGATGTTTTGATATTGACAGATCGGGATTCTGTTATCCAGCAGCTGGGGTTGTGTCTTCAGGACTTCAGCAGTGTGAGGTGAGTTACCTTCCAGTAGGAGTGGGTCTACGGCCACAATGTCGGCCCACTAGTAGGAATTGTTTGTTAGATGATTGTCTTTGTGATAATTATCTGGTGTGTTGTTAGTAGTGGTATGGGTGATATAGCCCTAGTTACCGGTTGAAAGATACTGAAGGGGTAGATAATACCCATGCATGCCTAGCAGTATGATCATGATATGTTATTATGTGGTAGTAGTAGGGGGTGAAATAGTCCCCGAATACCGGTTGAAAGATACCGAAGGGGTAGGTCAGGCACCAAGATATGCCTGACAATATATTCATGTATGTTTAGCTATGTTATTATGTGGTAGTGGTAGGGGTGAAATAGTCCCCGGTTACCGGTTGAAAGATACCGAAGGGGAGGTTAGCTCCCGGTTACCGGTTGAAAGAGACCGAAGGGGAGGCCAGCACCCAGATATGCTAGGCGGTTACCGGTTGAAAGAGACCGAAGGGGAGGCCAGCACCCAGATATGCTAGGTGGTTACCGGTTGAAAGATACCGAAGGGGTAGGTCGGGCACCCAGATATGCCTGACAGTATGTTAGTAGTATGGTATGTGGTATGATGGGGGAACTCACTAAGCTTTGTGCTTACGGTTTATAGTTTTGGTTTCAGGTACTCGTTCTCAAAGAAAATGAGCCGACTTGATCGCATCGCATCACACTCTGTTTTCCGCACATGAGATCTTTAGGATTACACTCTGATATGGTTTTATGATGATATGTTTTGATTATTGACACTTTGGTTTTGACATGAGATATTAATATGAATGTTTTTTATACTGATGGTTTTATATAATTACTTAATTAAAACGAAATTTTTGGTCTTGAATTTTGGGTTGTTACATGTAATAGTGTAAAATGTATGTTTTTCCATATTTGTAAACCATCTTTACTAGAAAAATAGTATGTATTTCTAATGAGAGGAAATCACTGTATGGATGTAATAGAAAAATGAAGGTTTGCAGTAGAATTGTATAAAATACTCTACTGATGCATTAACTACCTTGTAACCAAACTGGTTAATTAAGGTTAAAATGCGATTAGGTTATAACCATGCTTGATTGACTAGTATAAACACGACGTTCTTCAGGCGTCGAAAAAGGTATGACGTTTGTCACCCGTAGACCTGCAGGTCCCACTGTAGCTAGCAGCAAGGTGTGGGATTGTCAATCCCGTATAGATCTATACACAAACGCACGCTCTCCCTCCAGGAGACTCTGGTTGTAAAACGTAACATAGCAAGAATATTGTTATGCCATGAAATAGTATCTCACATTTTAGTTATCTTGTTCACGTATAGTATGTAAGTTCCTTTAAGTTTCTTGTAAATGAATAGTATACTCAATAATGAATAGTAATAGTATGTATGTATTGATTCATGTATTGTTCCTATGTTATAGTAAATAGTATGTATTGATCCTCTAAACCATACCTATTATAGTTTACTAGCATGTTTGTTTGAACTGTAACTGATTTGGAGAAAAGACTCAATTGCCTAATGTCTGCAACTGAGTTAAGTATGTACTTTGAAAATGGAGTTTTAATATTCATGTATATATTTAGCAAGCATAACTATGATTTAGCCGACAGTCGGACTAGTGATCCTACCCTAAGCCCACAACCAAACAAGGAACAAGAGTCAAGGTATTTAGCAATAGTCCTAAGTCCGTTAAAGCATACTTATACATAAATATATATAAATGAATATGATTTTGATAATAAACAGCAATCTAAAATAGTTTAAAATAGTTTTTGAAATGATTTTAACAACTTATAAAAGCATAAGAAATCCTTTGTTTGTTTTCACATGTAAATGTTAACACAATTCCATTGTGTTCTACTTGTATTCCCCCTAAAAACATTGAAAAAGGTAAATTGTAGGGGTATGAACTCACCTTGTGTGAGTGATTCGTTTGGATGTTCGATATAGGATGATTGTTTCCGCAAGTTAGATCCCGAGACAAAACAAGTCCTAAAATACATTTCACACGATATATTGACATGAAATTAGTGAATATAACCTCAAAGATGTTAAGGAAACAACCTAGGATGTAAGAATTACTTACAAAAGAAGTGTTAGAAGCGAAATCGAGTGACTGCTTGGAGTTCACGGTTGGGCTTCGGTGTTTACGGCAGTAAATGGTTCACGACCACTTGATGATTCAAGTGTTTTCGGCTGTAAACTCAAGTATGTGATCTTGGTGTTCTTGGTGAAACCAAGGAGATTCAAGGGTTTACGGTTGTAAACCCAGAAACGAAGGGTGTTTGATTGATGAAAAGAAGAACACTTGATGTTCTTATCAAGATCCGAAGGTGAAACAAATGATCTTCGGATGATGGTTGAGAGAAAACTAGGGGTTTTCGGTTGAAGATCTTGAGAGAAAAATCTTGATTTTCGGCTAGAAGTGTAGAAGTGAGGAATATTTCAGTCAAACACACACGCGCACACACACACACACACACACACATATATATATATATATATATATATATAATATATATATATATATATATATATATATATATATATATACTAGCAGTGTACCCGCGCAAAGCGGCGGGGCACGTAGGTTCTTTCGGTGATATGTTTCCTTTACAAAAATATTATGTTCCAAAAGAAATTACATGTTGAAGACAATATAATCAAACTATGGTGTTATTTGTTACATGATACATCAAATAACCAATAAAAAGAAACCAGTCAAAACGACACAAAATATTAATCGTGCAATACTTCTTTATACACCACATTTGCTGTATAAACCCCATCACCTTTTGAATTTTCGTTAGGCTTCACTAATACTTTTGTATTGCAACGTGAAACCCCTCTGGAAAATGCAACATAAAGTTGTCCATGCGAGAATACTGGGTCTGGAAGATAGATACCTACATTTGGAATTGTTTGTCCCTGAGCTTTATTGATTGTCATTGCAAAGCACAATCGAATAGGAAACTGTTTCCTCTTTAGCTTGAATGGGAACATATCATCGTCAGATGGACATAAAGGAATCTTAGGCAAAAATATCCTTTTTTCATCATGTTGTCCAACAGCTATTTCTGCATCAATAACATTTTGCTGAAAGCTTTTGCATATCAATCGGGTGCCATTACACAACCCATTTGCTGCGTCAATATTCCGTAACAGTATTATCGGGCATCCAACTTTTAATCGAAGGTAATGCGGAGGTAAACCACTAACACTGATCGAGTTTAAGAATTCCAACGGATAGAAGCCATTTTTATCATCTATGGCTTCATCGACACTATAGTAAATTCTCTCTTCTCCGTTGAATCGATCGATCATGTAAACGTTAATCGCATCGACACTATCATTTTTTGTGGATAATATTGCCCACGATATGATATAATCTGATTCAGACCTATTGAATTCCAAGGAGGGAAACACTGCATCAATCAAAGAATCCAATGATTTTTCTTTATCAGTGTATGGAATGACCATATCATTGGGGATGCGAATAAAACTTTCGTCCACTGTTTCTTCAACTCCATCACTGACCCGTAATAGAAAGTTTGAGAACCATGGATCAGTAAGTGCTCTCATGTTTATTGTTAACCGCAACTTTATAATCGAAGACCAAAGAGGCGACATTCGTAGGCTAGAGTCTACAATTTGTGCTCGTGTCCCACGTCTTACGACTAGCAATACTTGTCTAAAATCGCCTCCCAGAACCATTATCTTTCCACCAAAACGGAGTGCCACCCCAGTGATATCTTGCATTGTCCAATCAAACGCCTCCACCACCTGTCGCTTTGCCATTTATGCTTCATCCCATATGATTATTTTTGCAAGCCGAAGTAGTTGAGCGGTACCGCTTTGTTTTTGGATTCTACATAATGAGTTATTATCTGGAGTTAGAGGAAGTTTGAAACGCGAGTGAGCTGTTCTCCCCCCAGACATGTTATTAGCCACAACACCCGATGAAGCTGTGGCGAGTGTAATATGACCAAGTTTGCGTATATTAGCAAGTAAAGCTTTGTACAGATATCTGTTTCCTGTTCCGCCAGGACCATCTATGAAGAACACTCCTGTACAATCAGTACACACATGCCTCATGATCTCATCATACATATATTTTTGTTCAGGATTGAGAAACTCTTTGGCACACAAATGGTCATATTCCACAACTATAGAGCATTCTTCTTGTACCTCGCGAAAATCTCCAGAATGTAAATTCAAATCAGTGTTTACAGTCAGGAGATTAAAGTTATCAAGCTTGTTACCCATAGATTGTAGGAATACGGTCATGTCTGTGAGGACCATATTTTGTACTCGATTAGCATTGTCGTATTGTCTCCTATAATCTTCTGAGAGAGAATTATAGTGGGCATTCCATAACTTGTGAACATCTCCAGGATCACAAAAAACTAATATCGTTGCAAACAACCTTCTGAGAGCATTTGGAAATTGAAACAAGGAGGCCTCTGCAAGACATTGCGATAAACTATCATCTGTCTCTATTAACCCTCTTTCAAGAGCCGCTTTTCGAAATGTGGGATGTCTTACGTTATTGACTGTGTATTGATCTTCAAAACATGTAGGACCCCTAAAATGACATAATAACACACGTAGATAGTATCGCTCGCCTTCAGTAGGATTTGCAGAAACCAAACGACCTACTGCTGGTGATACTTTTCGAGGATTCCATAGATGCGATTGTTTATTCCATGTGAAGTGGTTGGGAAAATCTTTGTATACGTATTGTCTTGTATTAATGTTATCTTTATTCATCTTGAAAAATGCAGTCAACATTGATCTCTTATCTCTCTCCCTCTCAACAACTGATATCATTGCATCATCATCAGTGAACCTAACCAACTGTTGGTTCGGTAGATGCAATTGCAAAGTGATCACATTAGGGTGGATTTGATTAAGAGAAAAGCTAAAAATTTGCCATACTGCTTCTGGAGCGGAGATGTATCGTACATCCTGAAAACGTTTTATCTCATTGATAACAACAGGTTGTGCATCTGGATCAATATGGATAACTTGTTTGTCATGAACCTTGTAAATATACTTAAAGATGTATTTCAATGATGTTATACTCGAGCAAACCTCAACATTTAGATGGCAGTTGAACATCATCAACAACTTTGGGTTATATGGGACAACCCATCTATTATCCATCATAATACCTTGTTTATTCACAACAATTCCATTATCTCTCCTTCGATAAATCGGATATGCGTCCTTTCCATGTGTTGTGGTTTCGTTGAATCGTCGAGGGTATCTAAAACGACAGGTTGGTGGATCGCCTTGCATACAAGAACATTTTTCGTTTAATGTACCGCAAGGACCATGTATCATGTGTGATTTGACCAGATTGTGTAGTATAGGATACTTTGTCGGGTTTGGAATTTCGGCACACACATACTTGTCATAATGGTCTGCATTGGTGAGCTTCCATTCAGGTTTCATTATTAAGAGAAAATGCGCATGTGGTAAACCACGTTTCTGGAACTCTATTACATAAACATATGCACTCACCACACCAAGGGCGTGCCTCTTCAAGAGTTGTTCCTTAAGGTCATGTAACTTAGCACGAAATACTCTTGCAACCAGATCTGGTCTATCTTGAGCTATCTAAGTAACTCATTTTGGATTTCAGGCCAATTCGGATTGCATGTTATTTTAAGGAATATATCAGGTTTCCCTCCATCTTGAACTAAAGCCATAACATCAAGAAATCATCGTCGCATGTCACAAGGACCTCCGATGAAACTTGCTGGCAAAACAACACGTTGCCCAATCATACTTGGTTGTACCTCACTGACATTGACACAATCCACAACACCTTGGTATAACTCCGCTCTTATTGTAGATTGGTTTTTTCTACAAAATTCCAAACGCGAAGTCTCAATCTTGATGTAGATATCTACCACGAATTGTGGTAATAATCTCCCTCCTAACATAATTACGTTCAAGCTTGATCGAATCTGCAACTTGTAACAGTAGTACTCCCACATAGTTACAGTTTTCCTACCCGTTATTATATCAGTCTCTACATAATGATTAAATTGAAAATTATATCAATTTTTACATTTGTAAAATTTAATGATATTAAATATGTGGCTATGCTTACCTTCTAGATCTTCATCGAAGTTTTGGTCGTCATTAACCATCTCATTGAATGAAACCCCTTGTCTTAGTATGTTAGAATGCCATCCAGGCTCACCATTTGGAAAGAATAAAGGATAACATAATGGATCATAACATCCCCAATAAGATTGAATTGTTTTTGGTTTTTTCGGACCTTCCATAAACTATAATACTTCTTTTATATGCGGTTATGTTGTCATTACCTTCAATCCAAATACCAGCAACCTGTGAAATTATATTATAGAAAAAATATGATTAAAATTGGTATGTAATTTGCATAGTTATATTTAATACATGAAACATTATATTTTATTTTCAAAAACATATGTACATAATTAATTTCAAACCTCGAATGTGGTTGTCCGGTTGTACACCCTTTGGTCTAGTTCTACCGATGCATTTAAAGTGACTCTGTAATTGTCGAGTGGTCCTAGATCAGCAAGGCTATGAAATATTGCAACGTATGGGTTTGTAGCAAGAACGCGAGTCAAAATTTCAACAATTGGTTTAGCAAGATTTTTCCATTCGAGTCTATTTGACATCCCAGCTTCAACATCGTAAAAATACAATTGTAAGAACTTAGGTTCATCCTTTTTCCTTGGAACTAACTGGTCGATTCTATGGTATATTCCTCCATTCACACAAAAAGTGTATACCCCAGATGTCATATTGGCCATTGATTCATCCACTTCTACGCCCATTGATGCAAATGAATAGTTGGTGTTGTACGCACGTATATTTTTTTTTTTAAACAATTTGCCTAATTTTGTTTCTGAGGTGAAAAGATTGTGTAATTCGTCAGGAATAGATGAGTCTGCCAACTTTGTCTTTCCACTCATGCAACAAAAGCCAGCAGATTCAAATTGTAGTCGTTTTGCCCCACAATATCTCATATGTCATTGAACTTCACCACACAATGTTTTTTACGGATACCGGCGAAAACAAAAGCATATGGATCATCCGAGACGCTACCATTTTGTACCGATGGAGTGACATTGCCATGGATACAACCTTGTGGATCTGTAGACATTTGATTCAAATAAAATATATAAATATAAGACTACTTGAAACCAATAAATTACCTGCAAAAACATTAAACATGTGGCATTTAGCTTTGTTATGTTCAACATTATACGTATTTACTGATGATCATATTTAACTTACCCAAATTGTTGTGGACCAGCTTCATGCAAGAAACATATAGTATGGATTTGTTGTATGTTGCAACAATAACCTTAGTCATAAGGTTTGCTGGTACGTGATACAACATTAGCTTTGTTACGTTCCCCCTATTAAAAGGTAATGTTGTTAAAACTCTTAAAATGAATGATAATAAATTTAATAAAAAAACAATGTTGTATAGCCATTTATTGAATACATATATACTTACGTCTCATCTTGGATAATTAACTCAAATGCTCGTAGCTGTCTGATTCGGTTGCCCCATACTATTCTTCCAACCACATCTAAAAACAACATATTTTCTTGTTAAAATTATAGTAGATGATATAAAAATGATTAAAAAAAAAGATATAAACATACCAACAAGCCTTCTTTGATTTGTATGATCTTGTGCAACAGTTGTGACACTAGACACAATTGGATAGAGTGGATATCCATTGGCAAAATCGCTTGCCGACCGAGTAAAAATTGTGGCATGGTTTATCATAACCGCCTTGTCACTGGTGCAGATTTTGTACTGTTGGTACATTGGGTTGTCCAAATAGTATTCATCAACTAGGAAACGTTGCACAGAGAATACATTTCCTTTCTGATTGCTAAATTTTTTTCTCTATGGTGTAAATAACAAAATGGTAATGGTATTATTTACAAAATTAAAATTTAAATAGTACTTGAATATTTTAACTGGAAAAAAACATTACCTGGCGATCTATCATCCACAAGAGCATCCTGTTGTTTTCCATGTCCTCCCAAACATACAATACTCTAACACTTGTAATGTTCCACCATTCATATATTTGCCCCAAAGCAGAAAATTCATGAACAATAGTATGATAAATATCCATTTCAACTGACAAACACTGCAGTTAATAATTGCTATATTTGATGGTTATTCTAATACATATTGCTTGTAATATGAGATAAACTAAAAGTACAATACCTGTTGGATTCTGATGAAGCTTAAAGAACATATGGTTTTTTTGAAATCGATAGAAGAAATGTTTTGATGGTAAAGGTTTGGAAGCCGGACTCGTCTCAAGTCTGTATATATGTACATAATATAAAACACGTTTTTTTAAATTATAATTTGAAAAATTCTAATGTATATCCACAGTTTTTTTTAAATTATAATGTATATCCACAGTTTTTTTAATTATAATTTGAAAAATTCTAATCAGTTTGGATAGAGTTTAAAGTTATTATCTGATAAGCACTATGATTATAAGGTAAAAGATTAATTACATATTAATTTTGTGGGAGCTTTTTTAGGTTAAATTAGTGTTATGTTTTTCAAATTAATAATGATATAAATTGTAAAGATAATTTCGAAATTAAAATGTTGAGTAACATAGATCCTTATAATTTGGGATAGGAATAATTTTGAGCGGGAAAATAATAACACGTGGGTAAGCTCTCTACAATAAATAGCTATGTATGCTTCTCTAAAATTCCATATTGACCAGAATATTCCACCTGGGAAGAAGGTATGTTCATGTATTTTTTTTCTCCTTTGATTCATTTGTTTTGTTGTAACTAATACTAATTTTGACATAGAAAAAGCAGCCATAATGTCGAACTTGAGTAACAATAAAGAAAAGCAGGAATGTGATCAAACCATGCTTCAACTTTGTATGCATGAGAAACAGGAAAAAGAAAAGAAAAGAGAATGGGCATTGCTAAACTGGAATTGGGATGAGGTTGTTGATATTCTAAGTTCTGAAGATGAAAACTGGATGATGAAGCTGTGGAAATGTTTGACATGTCAGATTCAACAAAACCAAAAACATTGTCACCACCACCGAAGAGACCTCGTGTCAAAGTTCAAAGCCGGAACAGATGTTATAGGCTCCGTGATGAAGAAGATGATGAATTTCATGTTGATGTCGGGTAAGATCATTTGTCCTTTGTTTTACAAAGGAACAACAAACGCTGTTTTTTTTTCTATTTATCATTATATGTGTAGTTATTTAATTGTTTGATTTAAACTTATTAATGCCTTCAATTTTATTTTTTCAGGCATGGATTGCATACTATTGCAGCTGAAAACCAACCATCTCAGGGTGATGAAGATGCAGTTGTTAACACCTAAGTTTTTTTAGTAGATTTGTTTTATAATGCTAGAATTTTTTTGGTTTTGTCTTTCCTTGGACTGTTTCAAATAAGTTATATGTTTTATGGTGTTGATTTTCCTTGGATTGTTTCAAATAAGTTTAATTTTTAATGGTGTTGAATTTATGGAATTTTAATATGATCTGATTTTGCAAAAGTGGTTGGAATGAAAAAGTTATTATACACATCCAAGTTAATTTCTATTGTTGATTAAAAAAAGTACATTGCTTATTTTGGTAAAAAAGTTTGTTTTTTGATAACCCATGGAGATATTAAAGATTAAAACATAACACTTGAAATGGACAAATACCAATTTTCTTTGAGCAATAAGTACCAACAGTGAGCATCACAACAACTTTTTTAATATAGTATATTATATAGTAATTTAGTAGTCGTTTTACGGTATACTGCATTGTTATTTAGATGAAATTTATTTTTTACTTTTTGTCGATGTAATATGATAGGTAAATTTGAGATGTTAGTTTGAGAATAATTTAACATAGAAGTTTCTTAAACTAATTAACTTCAAGAAAATGATTGTAAATTTTAAGTGAAGTGTTTTAATATATATTGTTAGACAAACATTTTAGTCAACTTTATCATGTTTTCATTATCATTTCAATAACACACCTTCAAAATTTGAAATTATTATTATATATGATAAAAAAAAGCAATCATGATATAAACCAAAGACAAAACCGTTATGGTGTTTTCATTGCTAAAGGTAAAACTAATTTCATTCCTATGGGCAGCCGTTATACGCCCTTTCAAAAGCAACATTATTGAATGAAATGAATTTGTTTGACAAAAATCAAAACCAAATTTAAAATACCACTCAATCACCTATATTTATCATTTGTAAAATATCACTCAATTTAAATCATATATAAAGGGCTATGCACAATTTGGTCTACAACTTTTTTTTCCATTTTGACTAAAATGTGTCTTTTAAACACAAACATGATCTATCACATGTTTCCCGGTAGACTTAAATTATTAATAAGACTATTCTTTACCTCCATTGTGAACCAAAAAAGAGAAAAAGTTAATTGTCGTCAAATGTTTGAATAAAGAAAAATAAAAAGTAATAATATATACATAACAGATAAGGACAATCCTTGTCAAAAGCCATTGGATACGAAATTACAGCGGTGTCACTTTGAACTTAAACAACTGAATGCAATTGATGATAAATAAAAATATCTAAAATCAAAAGTAATAATCTAGACAAATAAACAAAAGAAGACATCTTTCAGGAGGCTCTTGGCACATTGAGCATCTTCCATGTTTCTATCAATTCAACTAACTTTTATTTGACCAAAGGGCTTGAAATGTATGAACTCACCTGTAAAAGGAAAATATTTGAAATCATTATGTTATAAACAAATCATTGGAAAATAACAATGTGCATATATGATGTGAATATGTTGTGGCCACATCTTAGAGGGCAATTTTCATAATACTTTGAGAAACAAAAGAATAAAAGTTAGTCCAAATATCTTAAATAATTCCTTAAATTCTAGAACAAATTACGAGATAATGGTGTATGTTGAATAGAAAGAAACAGAACTTTCAAGGCATTCATAAAAGACAATTGTACCCTAGACAACATTGCAGCATCAGGAACATAGAAACAATTGTGAGCCTCAGAGCACCTGCACATATTTGCTTAATGTTGGATGTTATTGTTGGATTAGTGTCTAAGCCCGTAACTATATTTGGTATGTACTTGACCCGGTTATGCATGGTCCTTTTGGGTTGCCTTCACCAAAGCAACTTGACAAGGTAATTTGAGGAAAGAGAGAGGATATTATGGTTTATTAATATATTATAAGAATAATATATTAAAGGAGAAATCATATTTATTTATTTAATTAGTATTAGTCATAAATTAATTAGGAATTAATTTGGTGACTAAAAGAGATTAATTAAATAAAGGGGTACAAACTGTCAAATGTGTGATAGTTGAGTTTTGGGTTGGAAAAACCTAATGGACTAAGGGGGAACGAAATTATGATGAGGGATCATCATATTTTCATCCAAGGGCCTTATTCCAGAAGGTTCCTTGGGCTACTTGTTGGCTAAGGTATCCATTAGGGTTTAGACTGAAACCCTAGCACCCTATAGTATAAATAAGACCCCAAGGCTCCAATTTTCGGCCACTTGCTTCCAAAAGAAACCCTAGGGCCAAAAATTAGCATCATCCCTCCTCTCTCAAAGTTGTCTTCTTGCTTGAGGTGTTTGTGATCCATTAGAGGAGTTACAATTGTGACTCTAAGCTCAAGAGAAGAAGAAAAGAAGATCTAAGCCAATCTTTGAAGAGGTAAACATCTAGATCTGATGTATTAAGTTAATTTTTGAATTATGTATGCTAGATTAGGGTTTGCAAGTCTTGGATTCAAAGCATGTA